AAGCACTTGAATTAAAGGCATGAAAGCCAACTCACCCAATTTGCCACCTTAACTCGCCACTTTCACCATGACTCACCCATATACTTTACACTTTGTCCAATTACTTCAAGACACTTAGGGGCCTATTTAATGCAAAGCAAGGGAAGACATATATATATAGAGAACAAGAGGGAATGGCAAAGATTTTTAGAAAGGGATTATTAAGCGCCAAATGAGAGAAAAACGATAAAGAAAAGAGAAAGAAAAGAAAAAGAAAGAGAGAAAGGAAATAAGAGAAGGAAAAGAAGGAAAAAGAAAAAGAAAAAGGAAAACACTTACCTCAAAGTAAGTGGGTTACCTTTTCTTGTTTATATCATTTATTTCATCTTTATACCATTGATTTAATCTTTATACACTTGGTTAAACTTGTTGCAAATAGTTGTATTACTTGGCTTGTGATGTGTTATTGTGATTAATGGTGTTAATTGGCTTGCCTTGCAATTTTATGGATATGGTTGATTGTGTTGATTGCTTTTCAACCCCTAGTTGCCTTGTATATAGTTTAATTCATGTTTGGGGATGACAATGATGGAATTTAGGCTGACCAAAACATGGTGGGTGAATTTGGGGTTAATATGGACTTAGATAAAGGAAAATAGAAAGGAAAGAAAAATGAAATTTTAGGGTTTTCGTTAACAAAATTTTAGTCGGATAGTTACACGGCTTCCCACACGGAGGTGTCCTTGCCCGTGTAATGTACACGACCTCCCACATGGGTGTGTCTTTGCCCGTGTAATTAACAAATGCATTTTTCTTGAAGTCGGAGAGTTATACGGCCTCCCACATGGGTGTGTCTTTGCCCGTGTAATGTCAAAACGTGTTTTTCTTCAAGTCGGAGAGTTACACGGCTCTCACACGGACGTGTCTTTTCCTGTGTAATGTCAAAACATGTTTTTCTTCAAGTCAAAGAATTACACGGCCTCTCATACGGGTGTGTCCTTGTTCATGTAATTGATCGATCACAAAAAAAAAAAAATTATTTGTTTCATACTTTCTTGGTTTTCAATTCTTTTACCAAGAAAACTTAATAATTGGTCTATTAGGCTTAAATAAATAGAAATTAAAGATAGAAGGGTAAAGCTACAAGAGAATCGAGATTTGAACCTAAAGACTTCTAAAACGAAAAATACTACCATAAAACCTTAAAAAGTGGTTCACGGAGCTAATAACTATAGAAGTTAAGGGTGAAAGAAGGTGTGACTTCCAATGAGGTGAAATTTGTGATAAGTGGTATGAGATTATCCGAAACCCTATTGGACCTATGAAATTATCTAAAATCGAATATTGTATATATTGGGTATGTTTGACATGATACATGTAACATCATGTACATCATGAGCATTGGGGATGGAAAGGAAACTAGAAAGATCATTGAGACAAGCAATGATACGGTTTGGAATCCAAATTTGATGAAATGAGTAATAACAAGAAACCATGTGCGTGCTCTATTACTAACACTCGTTAAGCGAGGGATAATTTTGCTAACCGTGTGCTTCAACGAGGGATAATTTCGTTGTTAGCGGTAGGTGATAATGAGATCACCGAGAGAGAGTAATAGAGCGAGTAGGTGATAATATAATCACTAAGAATTAGAACGCACGGACTTGCTAATACCTAGGATACCCGAATTAAAAATGGATGGAAAACATGAGAGATAGAACATTATTGCATATCACGTGCATCATCCTACTTACCGAACTTTGGCTCACTTTGTTGTTATTTCCATGTTATGACGGGAGAGAGTCCAAGTAATAAGGATGCTACCGGATCCTTAAAAAAGGCTCATATGTGACAAAAACATATCACGAGTTTATTTTGATTGTAATTTACGGATTGAGGTATCGGTAGACATTTCAATGGTACTGTAAATAAATTTTGTATTTTTTTCATTGTAAATATTCTTGTAATGTAATGTGTGCGTACATCTTTCAAGATGTAATATGTAGTATGTTGTTACGATACTAGCATGGACGTAGTAGGGTTTAAGTTGAATTGAATGGGTCGGCGTGATGCGCTCCTCACCTAGCCATTCTTTTTGGAGTAATTGGCAAGTAGACTGGGGAGGGGGCGTCGCATTACAAACTTGACATACTTCTAGAAATAAAAAAACAAACATAAATTTTTTGATAGCGTGAAAAATGAAATTTCAACATTCAACTTCTTATTAAAAATTTAAATCTCCTACCATTAAGTCAATGTTATTGAATTGTTATTGAATTTGAGATTCAAAGTGAAATGGACTTGGTGAACTTGTAGGAATACTAATTATTGGTTGTAATTATCTAGGAATGTTAGTTGGAAATGAAAGATGGAAAATAATTATATGGACATAGGTCTTAGAATGTTAGTTGGAAGGAGCTGTTCAAAATAATTTTCTCAACCAAAACAGTCCAAAAGAAAGAAGATAACTTTGTGGCGTTGACTAGTGCCTCTTAATGGCACAAGACTATCATAAGCTATCAATGGGCTCGTGTTGCTTTGCCATTTTCTCTCCTTGTTACAGCTGTTAACAAGTTTTGGACGTTCTTTGATCACATGATATTTTTTCACAGTCACGAGGGTGTATGCGTAAGGTTTATTTATTTATTTTTTGGTGGATATTGAATGAGCTAGCTGTAGTATCTACAAAGCATATTATTTTTTGTGGGTAGGAGTCCGGTAGCTAAATTAGTGTTTTGACGCAAACGATAGTTTGAATAACCTTCAATGTAATGATACAAATGTTTTTTTTAAAAAAATGATAAATAGTAACTGTGAATTTAGAGATTTAGAACTTGAAAACTTTTTATAGTTTTTTTGTTGATTTACGCAGCTAGTTACATAGAAAAACAAAACACAAAGATCTATTATCTTGATGTAGTGAGTATCTTTCATTCACTTAAAAAACAAATGTTTTTTTTATCTTAACAAAATTCGTTTTGAAAAAATGTGACGATATTATAATTTTCAATGATCAAATAGAGTTAATCCTAATCCTCTATTTTTATTCTATAAATGTTTGATTGGTCATTTTTTATCAATAGAATTACGATCAGATGGCCGAGCCAACTATTCAGAGTAATACCATTCAATACGACGTCCAGCAAGCATAATTTAAGGGGATTGTAATTCTACTTGTGACTCTAATGTAGTCTAGATGGATGTTTTATGTGAATGCATGTACTCTATTAAAATCTACCATAAATTGTATGATAATATTTGTCATCCAAGCATATCCCATAGTTTGGTACCGAAAATGCATGGTGGTCACATGGATCCGGCCAACAAATTAGGCATCAATTTTCTTACAACTTTGCGTCCTATTACAGTAGGTCGGTAATACATTATACTCGTCAGGTTTTGTAATCAGCAAGCAATAATACACTAATATACGCGCGGTCCCGCCCACTACATAAATCATTTTGTCCGTTTTAACGACAGCTGCCTTCCCCAAATCCACATATTTCCTATATATATATATATATATATATATATATATTAATGGTTCAGGATATTTTTAAGAGTACGACTAATTAAATGTTAGAGATAATTATTAAAAAAATTCTAAAAAAATCTTTTATCCAAATAACTTATCAATTTATTTTTAAATCTTTCAAATCTAAAATAATATTTTTTTACCCAAACATCCAATAGTTAACCTCCAACTTAACACTAGTTAACTATTGAGTCTATTACTAAAATATTTTTTTCTTTTTAGATTTGAGAGATTTAAAAAATAAATTGATAGATTTTTTAGAGTTTTTTCTTGTATAATTTTTTATCTAATAATAAACTCAATTCTTAATTTTTAATGCGTTTGATATTTATTATTTTTTTTATCATGATCAAGTTCAAGTTCTTTTTTTTTTTTTAATTGCATTTGAAAGAAACAAAAAGTTTTGAGATTCTTTGACTTTTAAGCACTGACATTGGACTACTATTTTTTTTTTTTATTATACTAAAAAATTCATTATGAAGGAGTTTTTTTTTTTTTTTTTTTTTTTTTTTTTGTATTGACCATTCGTTTAATTAATTACAAAATTACTTTTATTATCTAGTAACTATAGTAATTGATGTAATTTAACTAATTACTATTATTGAAATAAGATTATTATTATTTTCTTGTAATTTAATCTAAGGGTTATCATACAAATAAGAAAAATAAGAATACGTATTATTATGAATATTTGTAATTTCTTAAATTATAATATATTGATAGAAAGAAAAAGCATCATCGATAGTGCTAGTTTTTAATTAATCAAAACTTAACATTTTTTTATCAAAAAATAAAATAAAATTACAAAATGAATGTACAATATATTTTGGTGCATCAATTAAATAAAACATGGTTATCCATAATAGAAATACATATCTTGAAAGATAATGCTTTCATTAAATTAGGGATAATTATCAAAATACCTTCTAAAATATCTTTTATCTAAAAAATCTACTATTTTATTTTTAAATCTCCTAAACATAATATATATGTCAAAACAGCCAATAGTTAATGCTAGTTTTAATTATTAGGTGTTTTAGTAAGAAAAATCTTATTTTGTGCTTGAGAGATTTAAAAATAAATCTGTGAGTTTTTAATATAGATGATTTTTTTATAAGGTTTTTTTTTTATGCTTAAATGTTAATATGTCAAATTATTAATAAATCATAATAAAACTTGAATTGAAATTTAAAAAAAAATGATATTTAATGAATTTTTTCTTTATCATTTAAAGATCCATAGTAGTACAATATCTTTTATTTATTAATGTATTTATCTACTTATTGTATTATATGTTGTCGCTATTAGGCTTTCTCCTACTTTTTTTTTATTCAAGACCGTGGAACATTTTTCTTCAGCTGGCGTACCTACACTTCTATTTAAAGGATCAAAACTTACAAAGGAAGTTTCATTTATTAATACTGTCTCATCCTTAATTCTATCTTCATAGGAAAAAGTGTGTTACAAGAAAGATCACTCTTGCGAGATGGGGGATGAAGTAAAACAGAAACCCACCCTTGAGACCTCCATGGAGAATGGAAAGAAGGAGAAAACCAATTCAAATGACGAGCCAGAGATTAAATACGGAGGAATTAAAGCCATGCCCTTTGTCATTGGTAGGTTGACGCACAGCTTATTTTTTGTTTTATTTTTTGCTATTTGATTCACATCCATGTTAAATTTATTTATGTTCCTATTCTTCATCGTATATGTATATATATATGCAGGAAATGAGACCTTTGAGAAGCTTGGTACAGTTGGCTCTTCAACAAATCTTGTTGTCTACCTGACTACAGTTTTCAACATGAAGAGTGTCACAGCCGCCACGCTTCTTAATGTCTTTAATGGCACCACAAACTTGGCACCTCTAATTGGAGCTTACCTCTCTGACACTCACTTTGGACGTTACAAGACGTTGGGTTTTGCTTCAGTCTCCTCTTTCTTGGTAATTCTTTGCTTTTTAATCAACCTTTTTGAACTGTTTTCGAGTTTTTGCAAAAAGAGTTGCTCGAAAGTGACATGATTGAGACTAGTGTTGACTCTGCAAAGCCATAGAGATGGCTGTAGCACACGTACAGCTACCTAAATAGTTTGAAGAATGAAACCAATTAAGAGTAGACTTTTCTTTACGAAGTTTTTGCAACTTGGTCTCTAGTCGATGAGTTTGATGCCACAGATCTTGTTTTTACATATAATTTATATCTGGATTGATATATAATGCATGATATATGTGTTTTAGATATCGGCATAAAAATGAATGCTTCTCTTAGTATGGTTTCATGTTCCTTTTGGATCTATTGGTGTCATCTCTGAAGAAAAAAGGAGCAACTTAACTATATAGTTTAATGTTAATTTAAAATGGAACCTAACCTCATTTCTTGATGCAATAGGACGATAATATGACACTTCGTATTTTGTTTTTCAAATTTATCTTTCTTTCTTGATAAATTTGATGAGATTTAAGTCAACATAGTTTCATTAGTTATATTAAAAGAATAGATTAGAGAAAATCAGTTAAATTGAAATATTTATTAGAAGAATAGATTAGGAAAAAAATATCTGAAGTATAAAAATAGATTAAAAACACTTAGAATGGTAAGGAAAAATTTAAAAATAAACATCAAATATAAAGATAAATTGATTTGTTCTCCTTCCAATATCTTTTATTAGCGAAGGATTACGTCATGTTAGGTTCAGTAAATTTTTCATCTAGAGACTTCGTTTGGTCCAAAAAACATATCATTAGCAACATACAATTTTTATATTCAGATTCCACAAGTGGGCGGAAAAAATACTTTTTTGATGATATTCCTCCTGTCTACGTGGAGTTAGCTCTTGCCAGTGACGCAGTCGTGATGATATATTTGTTTTATTTTCCCTTCTCCAAAGATGCCAACTATATTATATATTAACGTGGCTGATCTTTATATATATATATAAATTTTCATAAATCATTATTAATTTTTAACTTTTTTGTTTTTTTAATCGGTTTCTGTTTAGGGGATGGTGGTGTTGATGCTGACAGCAGCAATCTCAGCGCTGCACCCACCAGAGTGCGCGCCAGGTGGTGCGTGTGTGGGGCCAACATCTTGGCAGCTAGGCTTCTTACTAAGTGGGTTTGCATTTTTGGTGGTTGGAGCTGGTGGCATCCGGCCTTGCAACCTAGCCTTTGGAGCTGATCAATTCGATCCCAACACTGAATCTGGCAAGAGGGGTATCACTAGCTTCTTCAATTGGTACTACTTTACCTTCACATTCGCGGTGATGGTATCTGTAACCGGCATTGTCTACGTGCAATCAGACGTTAGCTGGGCTATTGGTTTGGGGATTCCTGCATTTCTAATGTTCCTTTCATGCGTTATGTTCTTTGTGGGAACAAGCATTTATGTCATAATAAAGCCTCAAGGCAGCCCCATAACTAGTGTGGTACAAGTACTTGTTGCTGCTACAAAGAAACGAGGCCTCAAGCTTCCAGCTGAAAATTCAGCTATTTCTCTTTTCAACTATATTCCCGCCAAATATATCAACTCTAAGCTTCCTCACACACAACAATTTAGGTGAGAAGGATCAATTTCTACATACCATTTGATCATGAATCATTTTATACAACAATATCATCAATGTAGTTTCATATGTGAAAGAGTGAGCAGCATAAATTAATTATTTTGATTGCCAATACAAAATCACGAGTATTATTATTATTTATTTTAATACTTAATTCATGACCCCTGCAGTTGTCTCGACAAAGCTGCAATAATTGGAGATGAAGATCAAATTAATTTGGAAGGTACAGCTACCAATCCATGGAAACTTTGTAGCATCCAACAAGTTGAGGAAGTGAAATGCTTGTTGAGGATAATCCCAATATGGTCGACATCCATAATTTTTCATATTCCCTTGATCCAGCAACAGAGTTATGCAGTTTTCCAAGCCCTTCAGATGGATAGACGTCTAGGCAAGACCAGTTTCCAGGTGCCCGCCGCAACGTATGTAATCTTTACGATGATAACCCTAACCATTTGGATTCCTCTCTATGACCGAATTATCGTTCCATTTCTTCAAAGGCTTACTGGCAAAGAAGGTGGAATAACGTTGCTTCAAAGAATGGGAATCGGAATGATTCTCGCTATTCTTTGTACGCTTGTTTCTGGACTGGTAGAAGGAGAGCGAAGGCACATTGCTTTAACAAGGCCCGCCTTAGGTCATACGAACAAAGGTGGCTCTATATCGTCGATGTCTGGTATGTGGCTGATACCACAACTTGCACTTTCTGGACTTTCTGAGGGTTTCAATTATATTGCACAGATTGAGTTCTACTATAAGCAATTCCCAGAAAATATGAGGAGTATTGCTGGGTCATCCTTCTTTGCGGGAATTGCTCTCTCTAGCTATCTAAGTGGTTTCCTTGTTTCTCTAGTCCACCACATCACTTCAGGAAGTAAAACTGGAGACTGGTTGGATGATGATCTTAACAAGGGGAAATTGGATTACTTCTATTACATGATTGCTGGTTTGGCGATCCTCAACTTAGGATATTTTCTTTTGTGCGCCAAGTGGTATAGATATAAAGATGCTGATAATGGCACAGTGGAGATGGCTACAAAGGTATCTGAGAAGCATATTGTATGAATAGAAAATTAAGCTTGAAGCCTTGAATGGAACTATTCTACATACTGCCAGTTGTTTTCCTTTCCATCATCAACACGTCAAGGAGTTCATTAGACCGAAAAGATAGAGAAATGCAAGAACCATATATTCTCCATTAGAACCTTAAAATCATCGAAGATAACAGATTTGTGGTCACATTGAAAGGAACCCTGGCTATAAAAGCTGTCATCAATATTGATTTTACAGCTCCAAAATGTATACTTGTAGTGACATTGTTAGCTTAATTCCTATAAAGGATTTTGTTGGGTTTTTCACTTAAATTGAAGGTATGGATTGTTACGGTTGGTGATTGCATGGTCTTATTGTGAAGCTTGCTGCATAAGATTTAGTCGTATGATTGAATCCAACTTATTCCAAACCATATATATATATATATATATATAGCACTTAAAATCTTTTATATATAGTTAGACTTTCAATTGCATGACATCTGTCTCTAAAAATATTTGAAATGTTTAATATGTCATTCCAATTAATTTTTCTGATTATATGAAATTTTTTTAATCGAAATATTTCGATTGAAATAATAATAAAAAAAAATTAAAGACTTCGAAAATAGAAAATGAAGGTCATGTGACACATTCGGCCTTTCATGGAAGCAATGTCTATGAAAATCATGAAAAGTACTAGACATGTTCATTTATGAAACTTGTGAATTCTATGAAACCTATGATGTCTACAAAAAGTTGATCATTCTATTTGTATATCATGATTGAACATGCTAAGAGTATACATTAAATCATTCTCTTAACGTAGACCGAATGTACCTAATATTAACATACACAACATTTCTCCATGAAGCATTAAATAATAACATACCAAATACATCAAATAATATATCAATCACATAACCAATTAATGAACATATGAAAATACTATTTAATCATTCTATTTAGTGTTGGCTGAATCATCCAAACATAACACTAACAATTAATCATCAAAGAATCCAATAGTCTTAAACTTAGTCACTTGGCTGAATGATCATCACCATAAACACAAGTATCATTTTGTCGTAGAATTAACCATATCACACACACTAACTAATTGCATAGCAAACATTTACATGAAAATAATATATGAACAAACATCAAGGAACACCAAGCTTAACATTTGGCCGAATCTATCAAGGACAAACCAAGGCATATCTAAGCATGAATAGATCCATTTAAATTCTACCTAAACACATCGCCATGTAATTACATAATCTAAACTAAAATGGTTATCAATATACACATGAAGATTACATTAGTACACCTAAAATTCAAATTTGGTCAAAACATGTTAACAACCAATAACTTCATAATTTTAACAACTTTAAGGCTTCTAAATCATGTATTAAGCTAATTCCACCTTTTAATCATCACTTAAACTCATGAATCATCATGATCAATTATTGATTATTACCATATATTTAATGATCAAGCATCAATTCAATCAACAATTAAGTAATCAAATATGATCAAACATTAATCAAGCAAATACATATAATAAATCATTGAATTCCTATGTCTTATGAAGTAGTTGAGTTGATTCCACTTACTTGAAGTTTGATTAGTATTGAAACCACTTGAATTTCTCACCAAAATCATCTTCTTCCTTGAAAAGTTTTGGCCAAGGCTTGTTCGAGTTCTTCTCCGAAACTTTCAACCACTTTTCCTTATCTAAAACTTTCACCACCATTCCTTCTACTTCATCAAATCACTTTTTCTTCTTATATTTTGATGTTTAGCTAGCCTAATTTTACCCAACTTAGCTTGGTTAATGCTTCTCCTATTTATAGCCAATTTGTCGACCTAATGAAGCTATATGGAAGCTTGAAAATCAGCTTGCTTAAAGGAATTAATTTGGGTGAACTTTCGTTGATATTTCTTAATTATTTCTAGATTAACCTAGAGTTTTCTCCCTTATTTCCCCCTCTTTCGGCTGAATTATTGGAGCATGGAAGCCTAATAAATTTTGTCACATGTATAAAAATTTAAGCTAAATTCTTTGTCTAAATTATTCTAAATTAGTTAAGGTAAAATGTTATCTAATTAGCTTAGATATTTCTCTCTCCTTTTTCTCTGTCTTGGCCAAATTAATCTAGGTGAATGGATGGAATATGTGCCACTTAGATGGTCATTTAGATGACAATCTTTCATTGCTTCACCTAATTAATTCTAGGTAGTTTCCGTGAAACTTTCTAAGTTCACATTTGTAATTTGCATGAAATTTTCTAAATAATTCCATGTAATTTCTATGTAATTTTCTAAGTTAACAACTTATAATTTCCTTGTTATTTGTATGAAATTTTCTCTTGCTTTCCATGTATCTTCCATGTAATTTCTCTTGATTTCCCATTATATTTCAAAGTAACTTCCTAAGTCTTTCATGTAACTTCCATGAACTTTCCTAAATCTAACATTTACTTACATGATTAATATTTTATTTTGATATTAATTCTTACATAACTCATCCAAAATTCATTCTATCCTAGCTAAATCTTTCAAGTCCCTTAAGTTAGTTCACTTTACAATTTAGTCACTTAACTTTGCTATTTTATTCAATCACTTTCTTACACTTTGATCCCTAAACTTTTATTTTTGGTTTAAATTTAGTCCTTATTGGCTTGTCCATAAGACCTTGTGTGCGTGAGGCACGCCTAGCCTATCGCATGCCCAACGCATGACTATCTAGTCGACAAGCGCACATGCAAGCGCCGAGTGTCCAACATTGGCCTCGCACGCAATCACTATTTTCTTAACTTAAAATCAGTTTTAAATATTTATAAAATACCAAAAAATCAGATTTATAATAAAAAATTAACAATTCATGTAGTTAATCATAATTAACAAAGCATATAATTAAAGATTCAATGGAGGCTTTGATACTAATTGGAAGATCATATATCCTAATGGAGGAATAAAATAAAATAAAAAATTTTCTCAAATCTTAGGTTTTCAAGATCAAGTCGTTTAATCATCTAATCATATAAACATGAAATAAAAATGCAAGTAAAAGATTTACCTCTTATAGCGTAGATTTAGCATTTGTAAAAAAAAGTCATTCAAGTGTCGACCTCTATCGATAATCCATGCAGCTTAAACACCTATAAAGGAAGCTACATAAACCATAGAGTGATAAATCCAATCCTTTAATATATTTGATTTATTTCCTAAAAAAATCAATTAGGGTTTTTACGACAACTCAAGCTTTTTAAGAAGGGATACAACAACTCGGGTTTTTTAAGAGAGAAACACTTTCTCTCGTTTCTTTTTCTTTTTCTCGTGTGTGTATATGTCTTAGCCTTTTCTTGCCGCCTCTCTCCCTTTTATTTATATAGGGGCGGCATCCTTGTCCTCTAAGGATAAGGAGTTACAACATATGTAGGCTCGTTTGGTCTTATCCTTGTAAACCCTAAGCCTTATCCAATAGGGCTGAAGTTTATTCTTCTATCAAAATATCTTGCAAGCTTTTAAATTAAGTCTATTGGCCAAAAATCTTTTAGTCCAATCAATTTAGACTATCTAAATAAATTCCAAATTAACTAGGTCAAATATTTTTAGGAAGCTCACATTAGGAAACGAAACTTTCAAATTAGGAAAATAATTTCTAAAATAAGAAACTTTTAAAACTCGAAAATTTTTTCAAAATCTTTGCTTCTCTTTTATTATGTGAATGCTTAAAAATATGCATATGACTCAATAGGCTCCTAGATATGTTGGCAACGTATCAAGAATAAAAGACACCTCTTTATCTCTTTATACATAAATAAAGATTGACTCTAACAAGGCATTATGACTACCTATTTCTCTAGGAGGATTAATTAATTTATAATTATCTTTCATGAGCATGGTTACCATACAATTTAATCCTCATGTCAATTTATCACATTGTGATCTCAAACTTAGTTATCAGTATGTTCAATTGTGATCACATAAGTTTTCTTTGATTCTCAAATGTCTTGGTTCTTAGAGTAAACCAACTATGCTCTATTGGTGTACTCCTCCCGTGGCCATAGATTTCTTGAGTAGACATTCATCAAATTATAATATGATAACTCCTTTAGAATACAAGAAATAACTTATTCTATCTTAGTTATTCACCTATCTTCATTAAATACTTAGTGTACCTAAGAAATCACCTACATGCAGACTCTTGACATGTCAAAGTACATAAATTCTCTAATAAAATAATTATGATGACTTCAAGTCAAAGGAATAATTATACCTATTTCATATGAGATTCCTATAAACCAAATCAAATGGGTTCTTATGGCGAGTTAAGTCTAGTGATATGTTATCTAATATTAATCACCTAAGCACTTGCTTTGAAATTACCATGTCAATAAGTGTTAGATCTCTTATTACTATATGATAGTATGGCATAACACTCACAAATCTTACCGTATATGATCAATGTCCATTCTTGGTAATGTTACAACTTAGGATATTTAATGATATTATTTAAGTGTATTAATGTTTGTCTCATATTTTTTGATCAATCAATAATGCAATTCATATCATATGGATTTCTATCTAATTCTATCAAAATATAAATGAAAAGAATTAATAGAAAAGCAATTATTTGCTTGTCTAGTTAGTGAAGAGGAAATTTTTAAAGTACTATTTTGGGTATGTTCATCTATCTCTAAAAGAATTTGGCTATGGATTATTCTCGTAGGGTTTGGCTAGTCTTTCTAAGAATATGGTTGCATACATTTCCTATGGCATTTGTCCATCATCCCTTCAAGGGTTTGACCATAATTTTTATGGTCTTTTCATCCCTAAAAAGTTTTGGCTATTAGTTACGCCTCTCGCTTATTTAAGGATGTGATCTGTAAACTTCTTTATTAATATTCTAGCATGTTGCTCTTTATGTGACTTGATTATAAAGTCTATAAGTAATTTGTTAAGGCGATCATTTTGAGTAACATATTTTTTTATTATAAAAAAAAATTTATGCCAAAAATTTTAACTATA